AGACTCAGCTTTAAACCCAGATCCCTCAGACTCACACTGTGTGTGCTTGGTGCTGTTAATCACCCTGACGCGCTCAAGGGCCCAGTTTCTAGTGAGGCCAAAGAAGCTAACATTTGCACTACAGTTCAGCTGTTCCCTGGACTCTTCCCAAGTCCAAAATTCTCCTCCATGGAGAAGACAGAAGGACAAGATTGAGCTCACCATTTGGAAGGGTTCTGTAGTAATTTTTTAGCTTTGTGAAAGCCAGTGTACCTTGGTTCCATTGATTAGCTGGCCCTCTCTGCCATGACCCTGGAAATACTGCCTGAGAGATGAATGGGCAGCCCTCCCACTCCCATGTACCTAGCAATTAATGTCATTTCTTGGGATCCCAGTATTACTCTGACACTCATTATAAGTGAATTCAGAGCCCGTGGATGTGATTGTTTCTCCTTTTTCCATAAGACCAAGCCAGGGAGCACTATGGCTTTTCAGCAACCATAAGTGACTCCAAATGGAAATTTGCAGAGCAGCTCAGTGGCTTCAGATCTGCACAGTAAATCTCTTTTTGGTACATTATTGACAGACTATAGCCTTTCAGCCCAGGATGTCGTACTTGCTGTGGTAAAGGGCGCTTATTGCTGATTGCTCACGAATAACCCCTCCAAGCCTGCCTTCCTTCCTTCCCCACTATTGGATCAATATGCCTCTGACAAGCATCTGAAATCTTTATTTGGGAAAAAGCACATTTCCTACCAGCTGTTTGTTTTCTAAACCAAATAATTCAGTTAATTTCTTGCCTGAATTAAATTTCAGGACTGTAAAATTTCTCTCATCAGCACTAAGGTGCTTTTAGGATGACCAGAAACAGAAATGGGAGTACATTTCCCACATTCTCAGTGGCAGTATCATGGTTAATGCTGCCCTTGTGCCTCTTTAAGTCCAAGCAGCCTTGCCTGCCTTCACAGAGTGTTCAGAGCCCTGGTTTACTATGGACACTCTTATGAGTGGTGGTTAGATCTGAAATCTGGCTTCCTGGTTTGAATTCCAGCTTTATTATTTACCCACAATGTGACCTACACCAGGGAACCTAACCAGAAACTACATTAGGCCTTAAATTCTTATCAGTAAAGTGGAGAAATATTTAAAGTTCTTGGTATTAAAAGTACTCAGTATGTCATAACTATGGATTCCCCACTATGAGGCAACAAGCAGATGAAATGCAGCTGAGATATAGTCTAGTTAGTATCTACTGCTCGAGCTTGTTAGAAGGTATACTCTTTGCCCTGGATACCTTGTAAATCAATATTCATCTTACTCTGGTGACTTCTTGGATTTGATGATTAAAGCTTGAGTATCAGGGCTCTAGCTGCCTAAATAATTTTGTACAAAAAGCATGTTGGCTGTTTTACTATATCTCAGCCTGACAGGGAGGTCTTCATCTTTGTCCTCTGACAATGAAAATAGTCATCCAGCAATGCTTCCCTCAGCTGTGGGGATTGGTCTGACTCAAGCAGCCTTTATCTGGGGACACTTTTAACACTTCTTGCCTCCCTCCATTTATACAATGAATATATCACAGATGAAGTATCCCCAAGGCTTGGTTCCTGTCTACACGCATTAGAAATATAGATTAATAGCTTTCATTTGGAAGACAGAGAGCTGCCTGTTAACCCTAATTAACCTAAGCTAGTTAAAGACTCCAGCCTAGAATGCCCTGGTCCTGGTAGCTGATGAGATGGCATCTGAGAGCCACATAGATCAACAGATGCTGCTTTGTCAAAGCTCTGAAGCCCACTGAGTCATCTCCTCCTACCTCTAATGGAGCCAGGGTGGGGGACGGTAGCGAGTCAGGTCCCAGAGAGAGAAAGGGGCTGAAGCAGCAGGGAAGGTTGCTCCTGGTCCTCTGCTGCGGGCAAGGCTCACGTATTCATCACCAGACCAGGCTTTTATTTCCTTGGGGAGTCTACCATCTCTTAATCACAAAAGCAATAAGGACTTCCAGTATGTTCCTTGGCCGTGCCTAATCAGTTGTTCCAGCTGCCAGTCATCAGCCATGTCTGGAAGTTCACTTAAAAGCCCTAGTCCAGCTTTGAGCGTGGCACTGACCCCCGAGGTGACACAGACAATGGAGACCAACCCCATGGGCAGCCTGTGTGTGCCGGTTGATTTGATCACAACAGTTTTGTTAATATTGCCCTGTATTCTGGAGGGATCTGTTCTCTTCCTTATCCTTTGATCTATAGGCTGCATTGTGCACCTGATTGGTTGAGTTGGGAAAAATCATTTTTGAGTGTGTATGGAAGGAAACTTTCCCTTTTGCAAGGGACTTCACAATTTTACTGTAACATGGAGATTTTCTTCTTGAGGTTAAAACTCACTTGGCAAAGTCTGAGCATTTATCAGTGAGCATATGTTACGAAAGGCAAGTCTGTGAGAAGCCAGCAGATATTCAGATTTATAGCATTAGTAGAGATTAGCACCTTCCTGGTGCATGGATATTGCATGGAATAAAATAATATCACTAGACTGTAGTAATTATATCCTGGGCATACGGTGTAATAACGTCAGCTATTCCTAGAAGTTAATGTATATAGGAGAGCTATTTCCTCTGCCATAGTGGCAGTTTCTGAGGAATACAGGTTTTTGGTAGAGACCAAGGACAATCCTATTGAAGCTATAAGCTGTCAGACTCCAGAGAGTTGTCCATTTTAAGGATGGGTATGTAAGATGGGGATCAGAAGAATATTGGAAAGTTATCCTTGTGTCCCATTGTTTCTCCAAATTTTTGTCATTATTTTGGCCACAGGTGACATCTGCAACCAGCAGTCCTGCCCTAGACTCTGCCTGCAAAGTGCTCTGTATAAACATTGCACTATAAGTTTCTATTAGGTTGTAATATTTTTCTTTTCTCATTCGATTTATTATGAAATAGAGGTGAATTAAGTGGAATGACAGGCCTCAACCAGTGCTTTCAGTGAGTGGCAGGCTATATATCCCAAATCTCCCAGCCTACTTTATTGTAGCTAGTGCTAAATGTAACTTCTGTAGCTAATATAGACTTCTGAAAAGCAACATATTTTCTTTTGAGCCATGCAGTAAACCATAAAGTGTGCACATCAAGTTTCCCCGTTGCCCACTGGGTTGTAAACAGCAAGGGCAATGCTTCCCTTGTGATAAACACAAACACACACATACAGAAATACCACCAGGGGAAAATAAGTGATGAGTGCATTCAGCAACTACAACAAAAGAAGTAAGAGAGCTAACATTTCTACACCAACGAAGAAAAAAAGTTAGCTGTGTTTTCACAGTGTCTCTGTGACCTCTTATTATTCCATTAGTTTTTGGAATAATATATAAAAAGCCAAGCTCCATGCTGACAAACACCAATATTAAAACTACTGCCACAGTCACTCCAAACAGCCTTCTCCCCTGGGTAAAATTATTATTTGGAATACAAGCAGAATTGTGGTTCCCTGAGCTAGCAAAGCATAAATGAGGGTAGTGATTCATAAGGTGACTCTAGCAAGTTTGCAAATGTGCAGCTTTTATGGAGGTGCGTGTACACACACACACACACACACACACCAGAAAGTTGGCAATGCCTTTCTGAGCTGGTAAGCACTTTCTGACCTCACTACCTCTCAAGGCCTGGGAGGGCTGTGAAGGATGCAGGCTTCTGAGGACAAGCATTAACCTGACACAATGATGGTTTACCAGAAATAAACCCTTCAAATTAGATCACACCCCTGTCAGTAGCTTTTTGAGCGGGAAGATGGTAATTCTGCCTCTTCACATGTTCATTTAAGTACTTGAACTTTTGTTCCATTGGATTAAGCCTTTGGGGGCTGGGTCATCTGGGGTCTTAAGTCTATCCTAGAGAGGTTGGAGGAAAGTGTTACTGGTCTAAAAATACAACTCCCTGAACTTTTAAACCCTCAAATCTTTTTGATAATGTGACTTTTCTTTCTTAATCTCGAACTTGATTTCTCTTATTTTTAAAAATCCACTTATTCTTTGATATGAGTAGAGTAAGTTCAAAAAGAACAGAGATTCTGTTCTTTGTACACGGCTTTGTACAGAGAAGGGAGTTAAAGAGAGTCTGCATAATGATGCTGGTATGATTGCACAGTAATGAGATGTCTGCTGAGCAGGTCCCGACACCAAAAGCCTTTCTGATAGACTCTGAGAGTGACAAGCTCCAGGTTCTTCCCTGACATTGCACCAATTAGCTGATCTACATGGGCACATACTCAAGTTTGAGGTCACATACAGCTCTCAAAGGCAAGCCTGCCCCTGTGTGTGGGGGTCTAACTCACAATCTGTGTCATAACAGGCGATGGTGGGGGAAGGTCCTGGAGCTGCATTTCAGTCCCTTTTTCCTATTTTGTGGTCTTTGGAAAGGACTTATTTTTGTTGAAGACAAAGTATATTCATCATATTGGGGAAATGCCTGGGTTTAGTTAGACTCTGAAGTTAAAAGGGTATATATAGGATTCTGTGCTGGTGGTCAGATCAGGGAAGCACTGATCTCATTACTTTGATTTATCAGTGACAGAAAGAGCCTGTCCTGACCCATGCAAAGTACAAGAAGACCTGCTTTGTGCCCTCCTAGGCACCTAACCAAATATTCTGTCACCTGATGCATCCTCTTGTGACTAAATGTGTGAACACAGAAACCTTTGCATCGATGTGAACAGCGCAAGATTATAATTATACATTGTCCAGACAGGGAGCTGGCAGGGCACTGCAGCACTATGGATCCAGGCCATGAATGTCAACTTGGAGCAAGCTGAATGTGAGCTCCTGAGATGGCAGGAAAGGCCCAGGAGTGGCGGAACATGTTCTGCCAAAAAAACACAAGCTGTGTATATCCAAGAAGGAGAGAAGGTTCCCTGAAAGCCACCCAGGGAAAAACAAACAAGCTCTCAAAATATGCTTGCTGTCAGCCTTTGGTGTTTAGAAAATGTGGGTTTCTGTTGGGGTGCAGTCTCATGCTTCTTCCCCTTTGCTTTCAGCTCCCATTTTCTCCAGCAATCATTCGAGCCGAAGTGGAACAGCTGCTGGGGCCGGGCCACCCCCACACCTTGTCAGTCACCCTTCTCCAGGACATAATGTACAGGGGAGCCCCCACAACCCCTCCTCCCAGTTACCTCCACTCAGAGCTGTGGATGCAGGAGCTGAGAGGTAAGGCCATCTGTCTCTCTCGTAATAGGTGTAGCCGCCAAACCTCCTTCCACGGAGAAGAGCTTTGACAGTTGCTGAATTTTATTAATAATCTGTTGGTGGGTTGAGTTACCCAAAGGTGACATTTTAAAAGTAACATACATAAAGCACATGGACCAAATATCTCACTATATTATATTTTTCTGTGGGAAAACAAATGAAATGGTACTGGCAATAGCCAACTAAAGTGCCAAGTGCTGGAAAAATGAATTAGAATGCCCCTGCCCTTCCCATTTTCCTCAGTTTGTGTCAGGGATTCAATTTTAAGGTATGCACAGGTTGACGTGCTTTCAAGATCTAAAAAGGTACCCCGGTCACATAGATGGTGTGAGCTCATGTATTAGCCAGCTTTGCATTGCTATAACAAAATACATGAATAGCCAAACTATAAGGAAGGAAGGTTTATTTTAGACCACCACAGTTTAAGAGTTTTCAACGCATGGTCACTGGACCCTGTTGCTTTGGGCCTGTGGCAACACAGTATGTCATAGCAGGAGACCATGGTGGAAGAACCTGTTCAACTAATGGCAGCCAGATAGCAAAGAGAGGTCCTGATGTCTTCTGGCCTAACGTCCTTCCACTAGGCTCTGTCTCTTAAGGGTTTCACCACCTCCTAATCGCACCACAGGCTGGTAGCCAGGCCTTCAACACAGGCCTTTGGTCCTATTTAAGATCTGAACTATAGCAGCTTGGGAGCCAAGCATAAAAGGGCATGAGATTTTATATGGGTGATTAGAAAGGGGAAATTCACTGAAAATTTTATATTAATATCATCCTCATAAAGGGTTTTTGGGGGGAGAATTTTTAAACTGTGATCTTCAAAATAGCTTATTTCTGAATTCTACACTGGTTCTAGGAGTTTTGGGGGACCTTTGTCATACTTTTGCCTCCTCCCATCAATCTTATGTATGCTTTCATGGACCACAAACTAAACAAGAGTCTGTTCAGTGAGTGAAAGACACATGATGTAGGTATCAAGGGAAGACTAAATCTTTTCTAGATAGATAAATGGGGAACAGCATCCCAGACAGCAAGAAGAATATATGCAAGAGGTGAGGAGCAATGAGGACATTCATCATGGCAGATGTCTATAGCTCTCAGGACAGCAGCATCCACAGTGCACAAGACCATTGGGATCAGGTGACAGTGGATTGGCTTATGTGGAACCATATTATTTTATTCTAAGGAATTACCCCTTTATCCTCCTTGAAGCAAAGAGCCATGATAGGCTTTCTTTTAGGAGACACAATCAGGTTGACGTTATAGAGAAGGGACTTGGGACAAGATAATAGAGTAATTGAGGTTGGAAGGGGAAAGGTGGAAAACAAGGGTGAGGCTGTTGCAGGAGTCCTTGTGATGAGCTTATTTCAGCATGTTGTATCATTTCTACTTAGCTTGAAAATACTGTTAGCCATGGGCTTTCCATCTCATTCCGTTCTACCTAAGAGTTGTACCCTAGATGGTAGTGAAGTTCACTGAGATCAGTGAGAACTTCACCTTCTCCTTACCTACATGAGTGTAAGAAGAAAGTCATCATTGTGATGCCTCCTCGCACACATCCTTTGAAAGAATGTGTACAAAAAGATTTTAGCCAGTACTGGAGCACAAAACAGCCACCTTGACAGTCCCGTTACTTGACAGTTTCATCTGAGCCCCAAGAGTGGCTACTTGTTTGTGGATGAGTTCCTTAATGACTCCTGTTGCTTGGAGTTTGGTTTCTTTTTAATATTTAATTTTCTTTTGCAATTGTTTGTATTTTTAAATCTTTCTTAAAATTTTAAGAATAGTACAAAGAATAACCATATGCAAGCTGCATTCATATTCACCTATTGCTAATATTTTACCATTTGCTCTCTATATCTGTGTCTTTCTCTGTCTCTCTGTGTCTCTCTGTCTCTCATTTCTCTGTCTCCCTCTGTTTCTCTGTCCCTCTAGAAGTCCTTTGCTTGCTTATCTGTTACTTCTACGGCACTTGAAAAGTAATTGTAGGTTTCATTGAGCTCTATCCATAATTATTCAGTAGAGCTCTTCTGAGGATATTCTTCTATATAAACCCAATATAAGTAATCACACTCAGCATAGTTAACAGACACAGTATTATTATCTAATAATCAATATTCAAATTTCCCCAAATTTGTAAATAATGTCCTTTATAGCTGGTGTTTTTCCTCCTTTTTGATGACTTTGGATTCTAACAAGAATTCCATAATGCATTTAATTCTCATTTCTTTTTAGTCTCCTTGAATCTAACGAAGTTATCTTTCAGAGCATCAGTGATTTATGATGAGCTTAAGACATTTACTTTTTACAGTGTTCCATGGTTTAGATTTGTCTGATTGTTGCATTTGGGTGTGGAGTACCATATAGCTGATATGATGTCCCTTAGCTTTTTTGAAAATTATTTTGCACTTCACAGAGAATTAGGATTAAATGAACCAAAGTGGTTAAAGCACTTAGCATGTTTTGTCGTGTGAAGCACATGCATGGATACTCCTAAAAAGACAGACAGGCTTCCTTGGAATAGCAGAGGGATTTAGGTTTGGAAGCAAGAGGATGTTGTTAAATAATCACAGGGGTTGATAATGTAAATAATCATTGAAAGGAAGAAGGGGAAATGGAGAGGAAGGATAGTACTTTATGTGAATGGGTGAATGAAGTGGATGTTTGCATGTTTCTGCTTGCTGCTATATTCTTCCCATAGAATGTGTGACCTGACCCTTTGCCAGCCCTGCTAGAGCAGGCAGGTGCCAGTGTGGTAGGTTATCCCTTCTGATCAGCCTGGAGAGAATGACATGAAACAGCCCTGAATTATTCACTATGTTTGCATCAGTGACCAGGATAAAAACACTAAGAGGAAATGTGCTTACCTTCTGCTTTTGGTTTATATATCTTTGCTTTTGTTTTATTGGGAAGTCCCCCAATAAAAACTCCAGCAGTTTTCTTAACGGAAATAGGTTTATCACACTTCACGATTTTTAGTGGGACACTGGCATCTTTTCCTGCTTTGCAGGCATTGATTCATCATTTACTTGGCCTTAGCTGGTTAATAAAATGGGATGAGTCACTGTCAGAAGTCAGGAAAAGTCCACAACATCTACGCACTTAGCATTAGATCCTTTGATCTTTATCATCATAAAATAAAATAAACGGAAGTTCTCTTAGTTTGACAAGCTTCTATTTTTATTTTGAAATGTTATCTGCATGACACATTATTTCAGTGACTTTAGCAGAACCACACCACATCACCTAGTGCTGATTTAAACTTGTTATGTAAAGTGGTGTTTTACTACGTCATGTCCAACACACCAGGCATTGGTACTTTATGTTTATGGTTTTCCATGAGAGGAACTTGGTGGCTTTGGAAATGTTAATTCACTGTGTTTCATAGTCTGTCGGTTAGACCAGTGAAAACAAAAATATTGATGGGCATTCCTTTTTGAAGTTGGGAAATCTTTGCCATCCCAATAATAAGTCAGCTTTGCTCATCTTGTTTAAGAGATGTCATCTGGGGCCCGGGGATTTAGCTCAGTGGTTCCACCGCCTGCCTTGAAAGCACAAGGTCCCGAGTTCGATCCCCGGTAACAAAAAAAAAAAAGAGAGAGAGAGAGAGATGTCATCTGCCTCCTTCCTCTTGAAGGCCACTGATGTAGTGTGCTCTGGAGAGTAGGTGACAGAGCGGAAGGAACCATGGACTGAGCTCAGTGTGCTGACTTACCACAGAGGTTTTCCTAGGAGCCCTACATCTGAGCCAGAGAAGATGGGAAAGAAGGGATATTGGCATCCAGATATATGTCCTTCCCTTTCTTCCAGTTACCTGTGTTTTTAGATGGTTTTCTCTGAGTAACTCCAACATGGCTCCTCTTCTATTCAGCTATGAATATATGGTCTCATTGCAGAGTACACAACTATATACAACAGTGCAGAGTATACAAGTATTTTTGTTATTTTCTTGTTCCTGGGGCAAAATACCTGACACTAAGTTAAAGGAGGAGAGGTTTATTTTGACTTACATTTTGCAGAGATTTCAGTCCACAGTCAGCTGGTTCCATGGCAGGGTGGCATGGCAGAGGAGTAACAGACCATGGCATGGGGAACATGAGGCAGAGAGGGATAAAGGGAGGAAGAGGGATGTATACTGTTCTAGACCACACCCATAGTGACCCACCTCTTCCCACTAGCCTTACCTCCCAACATCACACCCAGCTATAAACTCATCAGTGGATCAATCCACCCATGTTCCAGTCACCTCCCAAAACCCTCACCTATGAGCACATGAGGCTTTGGGGACACATCTAGAGATAAGCCATTAACATCAACCTCATCTAAATCAGCAGAAGCATATGTTAAGAGTAATTGTTTGGGGCAAAAGTAGACAGAGCACCTTTATCAAATAAAGAATGCCTATTTCTTGAGTCTCTGTGGAATATTGAGAATCCTTACTGTTTTTCCCTTAGAATGCATTATTTTAGTTGTGATATTGCTAGACTTCTGGGCACTTTTGTGTATTTATGGTCTTTCTATGCCTCTCAATATTCAGGACTGACTTTTGTAGGTGCCATTTGTACATTCGTCACTTGAAACATTAATGTTGCCCCCCTAGATGCTATTGGTGAAAGACCAGCAGCCGTTTCAATTTAATGGCTTTGCAATTCTGTAGTTTCTCATTTCTAGTCAAGCCAGCCTACTCACTACTTCTGACTTAGTTTGCATGTGTCTGCTTCTTAATTTAGACTTTAACTCTTATCTAAAGTCTTCCCTTCTTTTCCTACTCTTGGCCAGATATTACCCAGCCTTGGGACCTCAGCTTCATTCTCAACCCAGGAAACCTCCCCTGCATCTCACAGCCCTCAGACAGATCCCCCTGTTTAATCCCTTGGTTCTTATTTTCTGTTTCACAAATTTACCAGACATTATCTTGCTAATGGGGTTGCTTGCTTTTGGAAGGCGGGAATCTTGAGTTT